CCTGTAGGTGGGTGAGGAGGTGTGGTTGGGCGGGGCGCCGAGAGTGGGCGGGGCCCCACGGTGGGAAGTGGGTGGGGAGGGAGCCTAGGGTGGAAGGAGCCATGTGGGTAGGTGGGAGGGGCAGCAGGCAAGGGGGTGCACTGGCGTGGCCAGAGGTGCAGACAACGACTCCTGCTTGCAGTTGATGGGCACAGCTCCAGCGAGGATGCCAGCGCCTGCATGCACCTGATGATCTGGAAGATCCGAGAAGACGCCAAGACCAAGCGATGACTCCCGCCATGTGCCCGCCCACCCACCTGCCTCCCCTGCAGCCCCGGCCGTCCTTAGCCAAGGGGGTGCACTGGCGTGGCCAGAGGTGCAGACAACGACTCCTGCTTGCAGTTGATGGGCACAGCTCCAGCGAGGATGCCAGCGCCTGCATGCACCTGATGATCTGGAAGATCCGAGAAGACGCCAAGACCAAGCGATGACTCCCGCCATGTGCCCGCCCACCCACCTGCCTCCCCTGCAGCCCCGGCCGTCCTTAGCCCCGGCCTCTTCCGAAACAGTGCAATAAATGTCGAGAGCTAGCCCTGCCCCCCTCGCCGAGACGCGGAGACCGAGGGCAGCGCGCCCCCGCGCCCCCCGCCGGTGAGCCAAAGCCGAGACGAGGCCGAAGCCCCGCCCCCGCCCCCCCTTGCTCCTCCCCTGCCCACCGCCAGGCCTCCGCTCCACTGACCACGCTGCAGCCCTTTCCCCGCGGGGCGGCCCTGGGGCCCTGAGCTGGGGGTGGGCAGGCATGTGTGCTGCTGTGGGAGCGGTCGCCTTTGTTTATTTTGTATTATTTTTATTACTTTTATTTAACCTGATGACTTGCACAGCGCCCTTCCCCAGGAGGGAGCAAGGCCCTGGTGCACCGTCCCCTGGGCGGGCGGGGACCCAAGCCTCCAGACAAGCCTAGGCCTGGAGCCCAGGGGCTGGCCGGCCTTGGAGCTCACCTCCCAGTCAACCTGGATTCAGGGCCTCCGAGGCCCGCCAGCCCCTGGCCGCCGTCTTCCCTCCCTGGGCAGGGGCAGAATAAATGTTTGTATGGATTTTAGACCTCAGTCTTGTAGTGGTGGTCTCGGCTTTGAGCCAGGCGTGACTTCAGCCCCCCCGCGGGCCCCTGCCCCTCTCTAGGGACTGGGCATCCCAGTGTAGCCCCTGGCTGGCCTGCACTGGGGGACTACAGAGCCTAATGGCTTGTGGACGGAGGGGGTCCCTCCCCACCTAGCCACTCAGCGGGCCGCAGGGGTGCACATCTAGGGAGACACACACCAACGGGGCCACCTTGCCGGGAAGGACCACTTTGGCAGTTGCTGTAGGCATACGATTCCAGCCAGCCCTGGTCGGATCGGCCCTCCTTCGGGAATTGTTCTGGCTTGAAGTGGAGACCAGGGGTGTTCAGGCCCCACCTTTAATTTATTTAAGTAAAAAAGGCACACAGAATAGCCTCATAGATCAGGTGGATGTTGGAGGTTGGGTTCCTAGCACCCTGAGCACAAAGGTGCCTGAAGGGAGGCTGCCTGGAGGAGGTGCCACAGAAGACCATCTGGACAGCCAGGTTGGGGCTGAGGGCGGGTGAGCCCTCCCCCAGAGGCTTCTGTCCCAGGGCTGCAGAGGGCTAAGGGCTTCCCTCCCTGCCCGGGGCCCTCCCCTCGGGCTGAGCTTGTGACCAGTTGACTGTCCTTTCTCCCACCTCTCCTGTAAACGAGGAGCTTTGAATAAATGGTGCCGGTGTACCCAGACACCCTGTTTGTGTGTGTCTGTCGGCCAGCCCTGTAGGAGGGCCGCCCGGCGCTCCGGGTGTACCCAGACACCCTATTTGTGTGTGTGTGTCGGCCAGCCCCTGCGGGAGGGCCGCCCGGCGTTCCGGGTGTACCCGGACACCCTGTTTGTGTGTGTGTGTCGGCCAGCCCCTGCGGGAGGGCCGCCCGGCGCTCCAGGTGTACCCAGACATCCTGTGTGTGTGATGTGTGTGTGTGTGTGTCAGCCAGCCCCTGCAGGAGGGCCACCCGGTGCTCCAGGTGTACCCAGACACCCTGTGTGTGTGATGTGTGTGTGTGTGTGTGTGTGTGTGTGTGTGTGTGTGTCGGCCAGCCCCTGCAGGAGGGCCGCCCGGCGCTCCGGGTGTACCCAGATACCCTGTGTGTGTGTGTCTGGCAGCCCTGCAGGAGGGCCGCCCGGCACTCCAGGTGGGGTGTGGGAAGCAGGGGGCTATGGGAGCCTGTGGGCCCCAGGCCTAGGCAGACCTCGTTGGAGCCTCCAAGGGACAGTTCTGGGACGAGCATGGTGCTTGGGGTGGCTGGGTCCCACGTGCTGGACTGCAGCTGAAGTCCCAAACGCCTCAAAAACGCCAGGCTTATGTGTGTGCATGCCCCAAATCCTAGGGGGAACAGAAGGGATCGTGGTGTGGGGGTTCTCTGCCACCCCCACCCATCCCCAGTGAGCACGTGCGCCCCGTAGCAAGTGTCTGACACCAGAGGCCTCGGGACCCCGCAGACCCTAACCTGCCAGCTCTGCTGGTGTTCCGGCAGGCGGCGCGGGATCCAGCAGTCACGTCCACTGTGGAGCAGAGAGGGCGGGGAGGGACCGATCTGGTGCCCAGCTCCCCTAAGCTCCCACAGGACCTGAGAGCAGAGCGCCCACCGTCCCCCAGGGTCTGGGTGCTGCCAGGCAGGGCTGAGCAACAGCTGAAACCACAGGCGCCCGGGCCACTGCCACCACCTTGGGGGGTGTGCCCTGCCGGGGCCTGGCTGCCATCACATTCATTCACCCAGCATCTGCTGATGGACGCCGGGGACACGGGGCATCCGGCCTGCTGAGTCGCAGGCCAGAGGGAGGATTCAGGCCGGCTGCCCACCTCGTCCCCACCTCCGAGGGTCCCTGAAAGTGTGCTAACAATGGGGCATGGTCTCCCTTGACCCCAGCATGCCCCTGCCCTGCGGCCTGGTTCAGGCAGCCCCCGCCAGGGGAAACCCATTCGCCGCAAGCCTTCCCATACACCCTCTGGCCCTGGTCCGAGACCCCCAGCCTGGCACCCAGCAGTGCCCACCCTCACCTCTGTACTCTCATGCCCGATACCTCTGCGGGAAGGCCCCCTAAGCTCTGGGCACGCCAGAGGGTGCCTACTGTGGACACAGCCCTGGGTGGGGCCTCCTCCTGGCCACGCCCCCTCCCCCCAGCAGCTCGCACTGCACCCGTGCCTGCAGGGTGGTCACTCAGTGTTCCTGGTGGATGAGCAGTGCCCGAGCCTGCGACTGCCCACCCTCCCTTGGCCCCTCCAAACGACCCCATCCCGCCCAGCGGTGCAAAGCTCGACTGACCCCAGCCTGCCCTGACACCCCATCCTTCTCCAGGCCCCGCTCCTAAGCTGCCTGCCCTGGGTCAGGCCTTCCTGAGCACAGCCTTCTGCTCTGGCCCCGCCCCATTCCACAAAGCCCGCCTGGCCCCGCCCCTAGACTCCTTCCTCAAGGCCCCGCCTCCTCACGTGACCATGCCTCTTTCTGCAAGGCCCCGCCCTCACTCCGCACTCCTACCCGGCAAGCAATACCCCACTGGGGCGCTTCTTCCGCCTTGGCCCCGCCCACTCACCAAGACCTCCTTCTTTCTTCGCCCCGCCCCGTTCCATAAGGCTCCGCCTTCTTCTGTGACCACGCCTTTTTCTGCAAGGCCCCGCCCCATCCCACGCCTGCAAGGCAAGCAATACCCCACTCTCGCTCTCCTTCCACCTTGGCCCCG